ACCTTTACGGGTGATGATTTTCTTGTATTCGGACCTCGCTGATTTTTAATTGATTACCTCTGGTATAGAGGCTATGTTTTATTTCTGGGTCGCTACCGGACAGCAGCGACTAAAAACAAAGATGGCGCAGTTACGTAACCAACAGGCGAGTAACAAGTACTGATCATCTGTCCAAATGGACAGTTAACTGAGTTCGCTATAGAGTCCCCCGCTTTATATAGTGATTGAGGGATTTAGGGGTTAGAGCGGACATTAGGACACATTAAGCTTGTATGAGCTATGAGAACAGCAACTTTTAAACCGAGCGTGCACGAGGAGAAATGGGCAGGTCCATGCTCTCGCTCTTGTTTATTACGCATCCCCTCTTGAGAGGTTTTGTATGTTCATTTTTTTTTTAAAGTGGAGATTTTGGGTCTTTTAAAATAATTAATGAAAATCCTCGAGGTCTGCTTGCACAAAGTGCTTGAAAGCGGCACACCTGAGGGCCATGTACGCTGCACGCAGCTCCAGAACATTTATGTTTGGTGGGCCACACAGCGCCGCAGCCTGTGCAACCTGCATTTGTGGTGACTAACTTCCTGCGACACACAACTATTCCCATAGAGATGCCATTTGACATATAAGTCTTGTCTCGCCATGGGCCGAGGACATAAAGGCACGGCCAGGTCACTGTGAGCCTTCAATGCCTGTGCAGGATGGGGTCCAGAAGAAAGGTACTGACTGAGTCCACTTAGATTGAAAATCTGGCAATTACATCAACTTTCCCCGTTCCTCGGTCTGCTGTTCTTTTGAATTGGAACAGTACCAGGGGCTGAGGCTGATGACGTTTTTCGAGCATATGAGAACGCACAAGTACACATATTGAGAAACGGTCGTACTGCTGTCAAAAAACATCAGTGAATGCCTTAAATGTATAATTCTTCTTCTCAAATAAATTCTTTTTAATATAGCAGGGATTAGCCTGAAGATGCTGTGCTAACGGTGCTAGCAAAGGAAGTAAATGGTGCTGCCTGAAGAGGTGGGATTTCCTGATATGTAGCCAATCACAGGCAGTTTACTGTCCGCGGTGGGTTCCACTTTTAAAGAGACAAAAGTTGACGCTAGCGCACAGAAACAGACGTGAGTTTGAGAGAATCTACAGATGCCTGCCGTGCACAGAGAAGGAGCGTGCCGTCATGTGAAACATTAGAGCCTTAGGGTACTTAATAACTTAAAAATAGGGAGACGTTCATAGATTCTACCGTCTTTTAATTTATGCACAGAAGAAATTAGTCTGGTTGAGTTGGTGCTACTAAAACCTGATGGAATGAAGTTTTTTGTGCAACTATGATAATACAAGGCTGATGAAGTTTTTAATGTGGATCAGGGTGATAAAAAGTTGCCGTTCTGCAAACTGCCCTGTTCAGACCCAGGTCCTCTTTTTTTGACCGGATTCCTGACAGTTTTTCTCTTTGGGAATAAGTGAAACCCTATTGGTTGGCTCATCCAGACATTATAGATCAATTCATGCTGAAGGTTGCGTCGGCACTAGGGGTGTAAATCACATCCATCAGGGCGATTCGATTCAGTATCGATTTCCTGACCCAACGATTCGATTATTTTCGATACTCAAGAATACACCACGATTCGATCCGATTAATTATTTTTTTTTTATTATTATTTTTTTTTACACCTTACAGGCTAAACAAAGTTTTAAGTTTGAAATAAATCAATGAAAGCTGTAATATCGTTATGCATTTTTTTTTTTTTTAGAAACAACAGCAAATAACAGAAGCAGAAAAGTTGCATCAAGAAATACTGCAAAAATACTGATACAGAAAATCAGTGCAATGAGTGCAATGCAATACCTCGTCTCCAGACGTCCCGCCCCCTTGAAAGACGCTCCGCTGCTCCTCTCCCAGATTGTAGCTGACCGCAGACAGCACCGCAGACAGGAGGCCGGCTTGTTTAGTTTTTATGACCGAAATTGTGGAAAACAACTCGTGAAGTTTGACCAGCTAGAAGAGCGAGGTGTGCGAGAACGCTGAGACCCTTTATCCACCTGGATCTCCGCTCTTTTTGGCCCTCATGTCCCTCCGTCTTCGGACTAAACTCGCCCCCACTTCCTCGCCGCCTCGGCCGTATCTAGACCCACAGTGTGTAGCACAGACCACGCTTCAATATTGAGCATAATTTAAAAATGTCTGCATCAAGCTCACTGCAACACACTGCTGTAAGAGTATAACCAGGAAGCGAGGTAGGAGGGCAAAATAGGTTTAGCGCCACAGCAGCACGGGAGGAGAATTACGCCCAGGAGCAAATGGATAAAAATAGGCTGGAGGAAAAAAAAAACATGAATAGGTTCTCTTCGGATCGTCGGCTTTTGGATCGATGCATCGATACAAAACGATTATTATTTACACCCCTAGTCGGCACGGTGTGTGTTTAAACGTTCCATGGTCTTCCTCCCTCAGGATGAAGGAAACATGACCTACGAGCAGACGTCGGACGTTCGCTCCCAGCTACGGTTCTTTGAGGCGCTGGAGCGAATGGAGAAACAGCGGAAAGATGAGCAGGAGCGGGAGATACTGCTGAAAGCTGCCAAGGTACAAAACGCTCCCACAGCAACCAACACATTTCCACAGATGTTTCCACCTGTTTATTTAACCATCTAAATATAAAAAAACGTAAAGCACTTGATTCTTTCTTCTTTCAGAGTCGGGCCCGGCAGGAGGATCCGGAGCAGGCTCGGCTCAAGCAGAAGGCTAAAGAGGTACGGCTAATTCTCTCTGTCTCCTCCTTAAACTACAGAAAACAGGAAATTTAAAGGATTTCTTCATGATAACTGTGAAAATATTTAAGATGATTGAGGTTTATGTCCTCTCTTCATAAAGAACACAAGTTTTTGAGGTTCCCTGAAAGCACCACAGCCCTCCTAATGTTTGTCCTCCTATTTTGTTTAGTAGCCATTTGAAGAAAAGTAACCAAATAGTGATAAACAACAAAGTATTTCTGCGTAAACTTCCACCCGTAGCTTACGGCCCTGTTCTAGGCCGAAGATGAAAAACACCATAACCAGTGTTTCTGGGAGAGGAGTTTCAGACTGCTTTATATTGGTCTGAGATGATGTTGTTTTATAGCGCTAACTGCTGTTAGCACAACAAGCTAAAGCGTCTGTTTTTCCTGTGTTCACCACGTTCAGACAGAGGCAGTTCAGCTGTGTCTATTCCTGGTTTAAGGAAACCAAAATATAAACAGTATAAAAGCTTCAGTCTGTTTGATATAAATGGCGGCCATGTTGGATTCTGGGGTCTGGGCTGCAGCTGGCAAATATGGCTGGAAATCAACCCTCAGGGACAGGTTCTTGTTGCATTTTCAGCTAAGCTTATTCATACAGCACAAGATTGCAACGAATTTCATCTCGAGGCTTTTTACAGGAACTATTCAGTCAGTTTATCCAGTCAGGTTAGTTCAAAGTTTGGAAACCGCTCCTGAAACCACTGGGTCTCTGTCCTAACCTGTAACTTCCTGTCCTCAGATGCAGCAGCAGGAACTGGCTCAGATGCGACAGCGAGACGCCAACCTCACGGCCCTTGCCGCCATCGGGCCGAGAAAAAAACGGAAGCTGGACTCAGGAGGCGGAGCTTCAGGAAGCAGTGAGGTAATTGGTCTCACAGTCATTGGGTTAAGACACTGGAGATTGTTTAATATAGTGGATTTATACTCAGAAACCAGGTCGTCTGCGTGTCGTAGTGAATGCAAATATGCCCCTGTCGCAGACACTCCAAACTTGTCGGTGACTGCAGACAGTGCCGCAGACAGGACGACTCTGATTGGTCAATTATACATCCGCTCTACACTATGCGTATTTCCTGTTTGGTACCTAATTGGTGTTTTGTTTGTATGACCACCATTGTGGGAAAACAACTCGTAAAGATGGACCAGCTAGAAGAGTGAGGCGCGCGGAAACGCTGGGACCGTTTTTCCACCTGGATCCCTGCTCTTTTTCGCCCTCATGTCCCTCCGTTTTTGGACAAACTTGCCCCCACTTAGTTTCCACCTCGCCCGTATCTAGACCCACAGCTAGTTCCTGATTGTCCCTCTTGCGTTGTAGCGTAGAATTACATCGCGCAGACCACGCTTCAGTATTGGAAGGAAATGAAAGATATCTGCGACACACTGCTGCAGGGGCATAACCAGCCCTTAAGCCCTCCCCACTGCAGAAAAGGGTTCAGGCTTTTTTTTTTTCTGAACAATGACTCTGAGCCACGACCCCCCACCTCCTCCTCTTCGGCCCCTCCGGTTATATAATGGCCCCACCCTCAACAGAAGGGGGTCAGTGTCTGCCTTGGGGACTAATGGGGGCCCATGAAGCCCGTCAGCCCTCCATACCCTGGAGGCAGATCAGCAGATATTAGCTCAAGGCCCTCTTTTTGATGGTGGGGGGCTGCTTATGCCCTAAAAGCCCCTCCCCTCTGCCCTTTCTGTAGTTCAGAAGCACAGTTCACAACTGCTGGTGATTTTCCAGTTTAAACTTCTTAAATTCTGACAACAGTTTTAATGGATTCTGTTGAGATGATGATGGGAGAGGTGGTTTGTGAAACCAGTCCACCCACTAAAAAAATAGAGCGGTCTCTGAACTGGGTGAAGCATCAGAAGTTTCTGCACGTTAAGGGGTCTTGGACCTCAGCGGCGTGCAGCAGCATCATCATTCTGAAGCCTGATTGTGAAGACAGCAGCAGGAGAAAATGAAAGCTTCCAGTTGGGTCTGAAACCTGCAGCATATGGAGGGGGTGGAGCCTCCTGATGAACACAGGATCTTTGTCGTTTCAGCTCAGAGCTGATTGTGATGGAACCTGTTCCTTCAGGAAGAACAGCAGCTCTAATTGGATCAGGTTGTTTTGTTTGGTAGGAATCCGTGCATTGATCTGAGTTCTGCCTTTGAATCGCTATCGCTGGATGGCGTCAGAGCAGCAGCTCACCACGATCAGCAGCAGAACATCTGGTTTATAGAAAAACATGTTTCATCTTCCTGTAGTTCCTAGTCTCTAACCCTCCCCCCCCTCCTCCCTCCAGGTGACAACAGGATCCGGTTCCAGCTCCTCTGCTTCCTCATCCCGGCAGCAGCTCCGGCAGCGGATCACTCGGGTTAACCTCAGGGACTTCATCCTGTGTCTGGAGCAGGACCGCAGCACGGCTCGCTCCCTGACGCTCTACAAGGCCCTGCTGAAGTGAGAAGCGCCTCCTGCTGGTCCAGCTGTGGTGCTGCTGGTGTTTCCGACTGAGGCTTTGGATCTTCCATCAACCCTGCTGGCCCAGTTACAGAGCTCCCCCAATCAGAGCCGTTTCTGAAACGTGTTTAAGGTTCTGTAGGTTTTTATCCGCTCAGATGGGATGATCTGGTTCCACCTACAGGCTGCTTACAGTTCCACCTAAAACGACACAAACGTTTGGTTCTGCTCTCAGCCTGACATGGGAACATCTTCCTGAATAAAACCCAAACGCTTGTTTGAACCGTTTTGTTCAGAACTGAACCAGAGACATGTTTTCTCACTCAGGGACAGTTTGGTTGGTTCTGATGGAGGAGGTCGATCCGATCACTTTGGATCAATCTCCTCTATCAGCCGAACCAACTCGATGGTTAACCTCCAGAACCAGTTCTGGGCTGAACCTTCGGCAGCCGCCCTGCCCTGCCTGGATCCGGAACAAGTGAGGAAGAGGAGGGAGATGAAGAGGTGGAACGCTCCTTTAATGGCGGCGGTGTTGTGGAAACATCCTGCAATGTTGGCCTGTGAGCTGCTTTGATTGGCTGTCATTGTGGCCCTGCCCCCTCCAGACTCCAGCGCTGTACCTGAACAGGTGCCTTCTGATTGGACACTGACTGTTCGCCATGTTTGAGATCTTCTGGATGCCCGGCCCGGCCGGTTGCCATGGTTTTAGGGTGTGTGTGTGTGTGTGTGTGTTTGTGTGTGGGTGAGCCACAGACTTTAAGGTTTTTAGGATCGGTTTAATAATCCACTTCCTGCTGAGATCATCATTGATCTGCAGGAACCAGCTGACTGGTTGTGATCTCCGTGGCGTCTGGAGCGTTCCCCTGCAGGGAGCTGGTTCTCCGACACACAGGAACTCTCTCAGGTTCTGACGGTCTGACATTCCATCTCCTCCTGGTCTCCATCGCGGCAGACTGAACCTGGAAGGTGGAATCTGGAAGACTCTGCAGATGGAACGAAGTCAGACTTTTCGAGCTTTAGTTTGGATCCAGCTCCTATGTTTCAGGACTTATTTATATTTCCTACATTCAGCCTGATGCAGTTTTACACCATTTGTACCTTTGTTACGAAATGAAATAAAGAAGAAGAAACTGAGTGGTTTCAGTTTTTTTATCTGCAACACAGACGTTAAATACAAGGCTTAGAAAAAGGGTCCGGTATCACGCTCGGGTAGAAAAAAACCAGCTGGTTCTGAGGCGGTTTCTGTAGGATCTGTTTCAGTCCAGAGGCTCCTGTTTGATCCGAACCGGGGTACTGCTCAGGGACCGGCTTTCCTTCAGTTCTCGACACAGAACGTACTCGCTGAACTGGGTCGAGTCCACGCCGCCACCGCAGGACGCCTTGATGCTGAAGCCTTTGTGGAAGAGACGCTCTAGGACCTGCAGGACCAGATGGAGATCAGGTTAGAAGATGGACTATGTTTTGAAGTCGTAGGGAAGCGGCCGTTCCAACCGTTGCATTTCCGAATCCTCCCGACTTTACACGAGTGAATAAAGTGAATGTGATTGGTCGGTCATCAAGGGGGCGGGATTGTTGTGGCAGAAGGTTCATAAGCAAGTTTGATTGTGGCCGGTTTGCCAGAAGCATCTTGCTAACCAGTTAGCAACTTAGTGCTAGTAGGTTCCCAATGGGAAATTCCATTGGGACCAAGTAGCACTAAATTGGTGACTTAGAAACGACACTGTCAAGGAACGCTATGGACAGCGGAAACATGCGAGAGGAGGAGAGTTTAGTGTCAGAGGTCGTGGATGAGTCTCCTCTGTCATCCATTTTTTATTTAGAGGAGGAAAGCGGGGACGAAGATGTTGTGGAAGAGGACGCCAGGGCGGCAGAAGCTTGGTTTGGTGTAGAAGGCTTCCAGCCGTACATGTTTGAGCCCTTGCCTCGCAACGCTGCCAGTTCTGTTAGCTCTACGCCTGCTGAAGACACAGACGTCCATCCCCGTGAACACTGGGACGCAACTCAATGGGAAAGGAAAGGATTCTGATTTCAACCGTTGAGTATAACTAACAGGCCTGCGTAAGATAACAAAAAAAACAGGTTTTTTTTTTAAACTATAATTTGTTATTAATTTTGGGACAATATTGTCTGATAAAGAGTACATTTATATACATGTTTAAGGCAGAATGAGTTGACATTTAAATATGATTTCCCTACGACTTAAGGATGTTGTGATTTGGTCAGTTTCTGTCGGCGCTGGTTTTATTTCGGTTATAACAGAACTGGAATAAAGTGCAGTCTGTGCTGTGATTGGCTGACGCTCACCTGTACAGAGTTCAGTCTGCAGTAGCCGTTAAGCGGGAAGCGGATGACATGGGTCGGGTCCTGGTTCCAGCCAGCATTCACAGAGTTGCACATGACGTCCCCGGTCTCTGGGAAGACTTCCTCGATCAGAACCTTCTCCCCACTCAGGGCGATCCTCTCACCCAGATCTGGCGTCACCCGGACCACCAGGCACTCGCACGGCACCGATGCCCGTTGGGCCTCGCGCTCCGCATGCCAGCGCTCCAGGTCCCGAACCATCGGAGCCAGCTGGTAGAACCGTGCCTCCTCGTAGAGCTGAGGGAAGTCCTGGTGGTCAGAGGAAAGCAGACAGCTCAACCTGATAAGTTCTACCGGGTCCAGCTGAGTCAGAACCTTTCAGCGCACCAGCAGGTCAACTGTGGTTCAGTTCACCTTAACCAGCTGAGCTCATCTCTGAGCTAAAATCTCTTTAATGCTTAAAGGTTTTATCAGGTGGAAGCAGAGCCCAGTTTAAAAGCTGTGACCTTGACGGTCAGAACTGAGATCTGACTCACCTGAAAGTCTTCAGGCAGCAGCAGCTTGCAGGTCCTCAGGTAGCTCAGGATGAACCTGAAGATGTCTCCATCTCTGTCAATGAAGTAATGCTGCTTCAGGCTGTCCAGCACGATGGGCTCGCTGCCGCTGAACAGGCGGCCGATCCTGCAGGGACCCATTTCACATAAACGGTCAGAACAAAGAAAACGTCAGAAACTGCTCAGCATCCAATCAGACAGAAGCGGATTTATCCTGAAAAAAAACCCAAATCATCTTCTATCTGTTCTCTACGGTGGCTGAGAAGTGCAAAACACATTTACAATTCAAAAACACATTAACAAATAAACAAAATAACATTTGAAGAAACAAAATTATATTTTATGAAACAAATGTATTTTTGAAAAAAAAAGTTAAAATTTTTTAAAACAAATTTACATTTTAAATAAGTTAGATTTTAGGTGAGAGAAAGTTTCATTTTATAGAAAAAAAAATACATTATAGGGAAACAAATTTACATCTAAAAAAGAAATTGACCGTTCGGAAACACTTGTACAAGTGCAAAGACAGAACAAAAAATGAAACTTTCTCTCACCTAAAATCTAACTTATTTAAAATGTAAATTTGTTTTTAAAAATTTCAACTTTTTTTTTCAAATATACATTTGTTTCATAAAATATAATTTTGTTTCTTCAAATGTTATTTTGTTTATTTGTTAATGTGTTTTTGAATTGTAAATGTGTTTTGCACTTCTCAGCCACCGTAGAGAACAGATAGAAG